AGTTTAATATTATTTTCAAAACAGAAACATAGAGCGAGGAAAACAAAATGGCGGTTTCTCTCATGATAACGGAACCTACAACACACCACGATACGTGTATGGAGTGAATGCAGGGTATGATCGCTCACATCTTGATCGCAAGATGTATGGATCTAGGCAGGAATGGGAGGTAAGAAATTTAAACACCAGGGGGTGTTTCACAAAACTTGTCATCAGTGACAAATGACAGTTTTTGTTATAAGCTACTGAAATCCTTGCTTTTGATTGGTTATTCGCGGATTTGTCACTGATTTTTGTCATTTATCATTGAAAAAAGGCTTTGTGAAACGGGCCCCTGAACAAAGATTTTCGAAAAATCAACTTTGGGCAATTTCAGTAGCGCTTGTCCATCCCATTATAATGATGTACTCCGTATTACGACTATGATGTCTATGGACAATTAATAGGTTATTGATATTGTCCTTCAATTGATTTCTCGAAAACCTTTGCGATATCATGTTTCCCGCTCGCTAATATTATGTGACCCATGGACCTTCTTTAGAGTAAAATGATTGGAACCGATACATGATTTCATTAGTAACTTTCTTTACACTGTGAATTACGGACCAAAGTTGATTGATGTCCTCTAGTACCTACTCCACCAAGATCAAGCTCCATAAAATATGAGTAAAACTGAGATATTTTTATACAAAAGTTATCCCCGTCGTCCATCTCTTGTCTTCTGACCGCCTCCTATATCCCCTCCCCTTATTTTTATTCTGGAACCTCGACTGTCATCTCCACAGACACCCCCTCTCCTCCTGCCTCCTCCCCTCCTCCTCCTCCCCTCTCCTTTCTCCTCCCCTCTTCCCCTCTTCTCCTCCTAATCTCCTTCCTCTCTCTCTCTCTCTCTCTCTCTCCGTATGTATTCTTTCCTTCCACTCTTCCTATACATCATTTTTGTTTTACCTCTTCCTTCTTTCAATGATGAGTAAAAAAGAACTGTATAGATTTGAGAGAAAAATCAATGAGTAACCAATAAGAAATATTAAATATGTATATTTGTGTCTTATTCGTTATGCTTACAGAAGAACAGCGTCGCACGCAATCCAACTTTCCATAAATGAATTAATATTGCAGATTCCAGAACTTCCACGGAATTCAGGTCAACGGTACCTTGCTCCGCATCTCCCCCTCTCTCTCTCTCTCTCTCTCTCTCTCTCTCTCTCTCTCTCTCTCCCTCCCTCTCTCTCTCTCTCTCACTCTCTCTCACTCTCTCTCTCTTCATACCCCTCTCTCTGTATTAAATTTAATCTAGCCATCTTATCCTTACAATAATAGGTTATATCATTGTATATATGTATGTATCTTGCAATGCTTTTTAATAACATACATATCTTAATATGCATAGTTCATTTTTACCTTGTATTTATCATGTTTTACATAAATATATAAGCTGCTTTTTTATATAAATATAAAATCGTGTTTAAATGTACTTATCTGTGATAAGTACATTCATTTTATATTCATTTTATTAATTGTATCTAGAATGTTCGAATCCACGTTATTTGATTATTTACTATTGATTGTGCCAATTATATAAACTTAAATAGATAACCAAATGAAATGAAGCTAGGTTTTAAAAAAACAACTAAAACTCAACGTATTAACTTAGAACTCTCCTCTAATTAAAACTAAGATATGTGAGATATTAAGGATACGCAATAATGATGCTTTTGTGATTGTATAAGTTTGATTTGTAGTATTGTATCTTTGAATGTAAACCATGTATATAACTAATAAATGCTCTGATGGGGCAAAGAAGAAAAAAGGGATACGCAAAACAAAAGTGATTATCATATAGCTATTTTGGTGTTGGTTTAAATTTAGGGGGAAAAAAACTAATTCCGTTATTATATCGCTAAAGAGTATACCTGTACTTGTAAACTACATGTAAATAGCGTGGTTATGGGTCCGGTTTATGGCATTGGTAATATAACATTTATATTCGATATTAGATAATTGCATCAAATACTTCTACATCTACTGCAAAGAGGATATTTTGTGATTGGCTACGATTTATAACACTATTGAGCAACTAATGGAAGACAAAGTTACATAGAAAATACAAACAGAATAATCTGTATTGTTTTTTTTTTTCTTCTTTTGTAGAGAATAATGTTTGTTTAACTTCGTTTTTCGTTGTTTTTTACAAGAGCCTAGTATGCTATGGTCTAGAACGGGATAAGATTAAATTGAATATAGAAAGAAAAAAAAGCTTGTACTCGGTTTAAATTTCTTGAGTAAAGAATAAGCAGGCTGAGGAGGGAAAACGGAAAAGCAAGAACAATTGTTAGGAAATGGGGTTGAGAGAGGAAGAGTGGGGGGGGGAATAGAAGAAAGAGAGAGGGGGGTTAAGAGTACCAAACATAAGTGAAATGGAGAGATAACGAGAGAGAGAAAATGAGTGGTAGGAAGAGAAAAGGAGATCTGGGAAGAAATAGAGAGAGAGAGAGAGAGAGAGCGGGAGAAGGAGAGGGAAAGAGAGAGAGAGCGGCAGAAGGAGAGGGAGAGAGAGAGAGAGAGAGAGAGAGCGGGAGAAGGAGAGGGAGAGAGAGAGAGAGAGAGAGAGCGCGGGAGAAGGAGAGGGGAAGGAAGGGGGCATGAAGAGAAGCAGCAAGTTAATTAGATTAATATATAGAGAGAAATGGAATTAGTGAAAGGAAGAGAACAGAAGAGAAAGGAGATCCGGGGAAAAAGGGAGACAGACGGACAGAATGAGAAGAGGAGAGGTGGGATTATGAGAAACAAAAATAAGTGAAGTAGAGAGAGAGAGAGATTAAAAAAATGAGTGAAAGGAAGAGAAAAGGAGAGAAAGTAGATCCCGGGAGAGATAGCGAGAGAGAGAGAGAGAAGGGGGATGAATTAGACGGACATAATTCAAAGGAATTATCATCCGACATTGCTGTCGATCATAGCACTTAATAACCTCATAACTTCCCAAACGAAGAATGATATGCAAATTGAAACAAAAAATTACAATAATAATAATTTTAAAGTCCACCCAAATTTTATTTAGTTAAACTGAAAATGGAATTTCTTTTTCAGTTAGCCAATTGATCGTGAGCCCGGTAGCCACTGAGCAGCGCAAGATCGACGTTGTTCTATCCCTTATTTTTGAACGCCAAATAAGGTAGCAGCAACTCCCGTCTTTTAACGTCTTTAACCCACGAGCTCCCGGTTGTGAGGCGGACGCTCTACTGACTCAGCCAACACACCTATTTATCCAAGCAATTTGCTATCCGAGACCATATATCATGGCTGTTTAAATCTAAATATAAATCAATAGTGTACAACGAGAAGTCAGGTAGTATGAACGCTTTTATTAATGGACTTCGAAAGAATGGCATCCAAGACAACTGTCACTGTTTCCTCTAGAACTTAATGGCCCGAATTCACAAAGGAGGTTTGTCGACAAACCTTGGTTTTAGTGCGTCATATGACGCGTTTCGACGCGTTTTTACAAACCAGGTTTGTAAAAAAAAAAACGGGTCAAAACGCGTCATATGACGTAAATAAACCAAGGTTTGTGGAAATCGGCCCAATAAGTTCCCCACACAATATGATTTCGTCATGCAAATTTCGTCACTCTTATGTAGAGGGTAAAGTGCTGTATATCCTCATGCAATTCCCCTCCTTCCCTCTATTCTCTCTCCATCCGTCTCTCTCTCTCTCTCTCTCTCTCTTCGTCTCTCTTACTCTCCCTCTGTCTTTCTCTTTTTCTGTTTCTCTAACCCTCTCCCACTCTTGTTTCTCTATCTGTCTCTCTCTCCCTCTGTCTATATGTTTCTCTCTCTTTCTCTCTCTCTCTCTCTCTCTCTCTCTCTATATATATATATATTCCTCTCTCTCTCTGTCTCTCTATCTCTTGGTCCCTCTCTCCCTTCTCCCTCTCACCCTGTCTTCCTCACTACGTCTGTCTTTCTCTCTATTTTGTCCATCTCATTATAGATTCATCCCTTCACTCTCTATCTTCCTCCTTATTCTGCCTATAAAGAAAGTGATACAACCACATGATTCTTCCGAAATTATCAAGTCGCATTTATTATTTTTAAAAAAGAAACACTATAACCTGATAAAAGATTCAGGGAATAAAAAAGGAACTTAATTTAACTTAGCTCAATAAGTTATGACACTGCATTCAAATTTAAAACTCACAATCAAACATTTACAATCAAACATATATTATCAAATATATTAAAAATAATTTGTTTATAAAGATTTAATAAATATACCTCTCGTTTATTGGAAAATTACGCATGCTTTATTTATCCACTAGTTATAATCTTTGAAAACATTTCTATATGATTATCCACACCGTTTACACTTATGAAACAAATTGTACAGCGCCCGTGTTAAAGTTGCTATGATGAACTATGCAAATAACAGTTTAGCCTATTCATTACCAAACATCATCTAATTGAAATACACAAATTATATTTCACCTTTGTCTTAATTTCTTTTCGCAATATAAAAATATGAAAACGTAATATTAATACCGACTATTATCTATGCACAGGCAAATATTTACATTCCAGCGTTTGATTTATATACAAAAAAGGTCGTACAAAAATTCCACTCTATAATTATTTCAGATCATCGCCCGGATTTTGCTAGGTATTTCAAGATTATATTTGCTTAAGATAAGACAATCAAGAAACTTCAAATAAGTAAACTTAAAATAATAATTAAAACAAAATTCATGTTGCATATAAAACACATTATAGTTTATCACACCATACTCGCAGTAGAACATGAGTTAAATTAATATTATGTACAGTAATAATAAAATTGATCTCTACTCTCATTCGAATTGACCATTGTCTCTTCTACTCTTTTGACAATGCCATTTAATAATATCATAGACGACCCCCCCCCCCCCAAAAAAAAAAAAAAAAAAATGAAATAAAATAAATAAATAAATAAAATAATAATAAATAAATAAATCTTTATCCTGAAAATTGTTAAATTTAAATGGCCAATATTCACAATAACTTCAACAATAATAACATGAATTTACCATTTATAAGTAACTAAGGTCTTTCAAAGATCGTAATAGTAAAATAATCTATGCAACTGTATTGGTACAGAACGTAACGGATTCTTTCGCGAGCTCAATCTGGGCTCGTTGTGGTACGAAAAAATAAGACGCTAACGGAACATTCTAAACTGATTCTATGGGATCCGTTATGCGCAAATTTCTTAATGCTTCAAGTATGACTATGGCTGCAAACGTAATAAATTTTGATAACGATATTACTTCACAAGTTAACAAATAGCCGTAGAATCAAAACGCCGTAGCCAAAATTGATGGTTTGTGTGTAATTCACACGGAGAAGGGTTTTCTACGCAATCAAATTAAACACCAGTTACATTGGAACAGTTTCTCTGTAATAATGATAAAAGCCATTTATATAGCGCCGTCTATATAGACAAATCTATTCCGAGGCGCACACATCAATTATTACCCCGGTCTTATCTGTACCACATGGAAGCCAATGGTAACATTCACAGTAAAAAATGAACACATATTTGTACTAGTTTCTGATTACAAAACATATTTATATTTAAAGCCTTATCAATATAAGACCATCGCTATGATGGTTCCAAGACACCAAGGTTGAAAGACAAATTAAACTCTTCACCGAAAGCAAAGTAATCTCCTTGTTAACCCGTGGAATTCTAAGTTTCTCAGTCCTATAGACTTAACACAGGGATTCCCTGGTTCCCGTATAGACAATGGGTTAACCAATGAGGATCGTCGGGGTCCTGAAAACCTCTGCTTTTATCCACCTTACATCGGATGATCCATGTTGAAGTCATAGACATTCTGTGTGGACAAAGATGAAGAAGACAAAACGAAAATGGAAAGGTAAAAATTAACGGGAAAATATTATTACTCTGCTAACAACGCTGAGTAGGGCGATCTCTCCGTCTTCCTTTTATAAGTGCGTCTTTATGATTGTAAATGTATATTTGTTGATGTTTTTTAATTGACGGAAAATAAATACAATACAATACAATACAACACCGCTACATCAACGACAATAGCGACGTAATAACACTATTGACATTGAATGTATAGGCTTCCTGCGAGTAATTTCAATTTGTAGAGATTTGTTTTATTCCCAAGAAGCTTATGTCCTGATGGCAGACCGATGAATATTAATAAGTCAGAACTTGAGTAAAAAGTACTGTATGTCTAAGTTAGAAATCATGTTTTGTCTTTTTCCTCAGGTTTTGACTGAAATGTCCTTATAAAGATAATAAGCAAACCGGAAATTGATTCGTGACCTATTAAACTTATTTTGTTTATACTGATATTCTGCATGTATCTTGAACATTGACCATCTAGTTGTCCTTATAATCTGATAAAAAGTATTGAAAGATTAAATAAATGAATGAATCAACAAATTAATAAATCAATCAATTAAAACATAAAAATATGTCAAATAATCTATGAATCATTAACAAATAAACATCACTATGAATATGACGGACAAAGAAAGCGAACAAAATATGCAGTTCATCATTCTACCCTCAACAATTGCTGTGGTAGAGAAAGGAACATCCCTTCACTGCTATTATGTAAAAATAAGTAGAACAGGTGTCACATGCATATTCACCTGTTCTACTTATTTTTACATAATAGCAGTGAAGGGTTGTTCCTTTGTCTACCACAGCAATTGTTGAGGGTAGAATGAGGAACTGTATATTTTGTCCACTTTCTTTGTCCGTCATATTCATAGTGCATAATTATAGATAACTAAATAAATAAATAAATAGTGAAAAAGCAATTAATATTTTCCAAGCAAACCTACATTTTCTTTGGGTCCTCCGGTGTGGAGCTGCAGTCCCATCTCCTTATCCGTGGAACCTACTTTCTTTTTCTTCGATAAGAAGAGAATGATGACGATGATGATGACGACAGCGACCAAGCCACCAACGACACAACCGACAATGATCGCGATGTTGGATTCTACGTCAAAGGAAAATGTTAGGAAGTTTGAATGTTTTTAATGAGACTCGAGTGAGCATAATGTGTTCTCTTGTGCGTTATTACTCACGTTAGATACATTGAAATATGTCTATAACGGCTATAAGCCTCGGTCACAAATGCCATTGCGAACTGCTACGAACGCCGTACGAACGATTTTCAGACAATGGAAATTCGAGAAGACAATGGAAAAACAGGGAGATCGTACGAAATTTTCGTTCGTACGAACCTTTGTGACCGTAGCATGAGGGAAACAGGGAAAACAGACCAATTTAGACAGATGGGCTTTGTAGACAGGTCTACAACACATGTTTCTACCTTTAGGGTGACCATTATAGACTATATTATAGACTGTATTTACCAAGAGTGACGACAATGGAGATCGACTTCTGATTGATCAGTTATTTCATGAGGCTTCGAATTGTTCCCTAGCTTCTAAAGAGATTGCAGTGGGAAGTAACAGTTTGGAGCTCCTTGATTTGACATATATGACCGTGCTCTTGTCACAACTATCACTTTCAAAACGCTATGGGCTGTATCGAGAGGTGACCTCTGTAGTTTGACTGTAGATTAATTTAAGCTTGTTGATCACTGTGCGGTCTATCAAATTAAATGCGAGACAGACAGCTCCCAATCCAGAAGAAGCCAGTCTCAGATGAAATTATTTCTACCCATATTTAGATAAAGTAAAAGATACATCTAATTATGCAATCTAACTTTGCTAATTAGTTCCAGTCATATTTTATGCATCATGCATTTTGATTTTGGAAAGTATCATGGATACAATCTAATAAGAAGATAAATCAAATAAAGGACCTTAGAGACGATTCGAGGAACGTCTCTGGAACTCGTTGTGTCTGCGGCACCATGTTCATGTTTGACGGTATGGGTTCTAGGACACCTACGCCCTGGACAACCACCCCTAGAATAATCACCTCTAGGACAACTACCTCCTAGGACAACTACCCCCGGACAACTATCCTAGGGGGTAGTTGTCTTGGGTGTAGTTGTCCAGGGGTAGTTGTCCAGGGGTAGTTGTCCAAGGGGTAGTCGTTTGTGGGTAGTTGTTTGTGGTTAGTTGTCCTGGGGGTAGTTGTCCTAGATGGTGGTTGCCCTAGGGGGTCGTTGTCCTAGAGGATGGTTATTCGGGGGTGGAATTCCAGGGGGTAAGTGTCCGGATATGGATGGTATAATGTTTACTTATACGTACTTTCTCCAGGGGAAGGGCCGTTGGTAGGAGAAGGGCCGCTGGTAGGAGAAGAGCCGCTGGTAGGAGAAGGGCCGCTGGTAGAAGCAATCTCTTCTCCAGCAAGGACACTAAAGGCTGACAGATGATTAGTTCGGCATTCCACCTCAGTCCCTGACGTCATCACGGTCTCCACCCCTGAGGTACTCCATTCTTTGCTTGTGGTGTTCCAGAAGGTACACTCGTAGGTACGGTATTGTTTTGGTCGGGTGATTTCCATGTGGATGCTTATGGGGTCGGTCAGAGAATCCACGACGAGTTCTGAAACTGCAGTGATATAATGAAGAATTTAAAATCTCATTTCCGATGCCTATAATTGTCGATCTAAACAGAATAAAGGTATCCCATTTGAATACAAGTATTTAAATGTAAATGTTATCACATTTATATCAATCTTTCTTTGATCCAGTGACTGCGTAGTATTCATTCATTTGGAAGAACCTCTTTGCCGGCCGAAAAACCTCTAATTGTTGTTGTTGTTATAAGGACTTATGTTCCGACCAAAATATCGAGTTTTGGTTAATAATAGTATTTTTGTTTTGCTTTTCACGTTTTTGGAAATAATAAAACAAGATGAAAATAAAAATTCATTGTTTCGGCCATGTGCCAAAACGAAGTATTAGCGTGTTGATATTTTCCCTCGTGATCATATTTTCCATAAAAAAATATAACCCCTTGAGAAAGTACATTGTATAACTCCCTTCGGCTGTAAACAAAAAAACAATGTTATATCAAACACCATACCAGTCAATATCTGTCTTATGCCATCTCTTGATAGTGGTAAGCTCTGATAATGTAGACATTTCGAGAAGAGTTCACTATTATTTAATTTAATATCTTTGTATGGTATCGGAAGACAGGGTTATATCAAATATGAAGTGTCAACTTACAGGAAGAAGGGTCGAAGAGGGAAATCTGCAAGATCGCGGATGCTCTATCATTTCGATCCTCATCGTTTGTAGAATATGGATCCGAATCGTCAGCGTATTGTTCGAACTCGACAAGAACTCCTACACAGGATCCGGACTCACAGTCCCAGACACCATACCTACATTCAAAAAATTGACGTCAATTTATTCATATCAGATGTCACAACATTTCATGAAATTTCAAATTGCTTGACATTTTCCTCACAAAAAAGAAAGCGTTCCATTTGCCCATTCCCCCCCCCCCCAAAAAAAAAAAAATCGTAATTTTCATCAAAAACTGATGTTTAGAAGTCTCTAGCTGGCCGCTTGAGGATCCCCCCCCCCCCCCCCCCTCTCCCAAGAAGTTTGTGCGAGGTTTTAAAGACACATAGAAGTGGGCTCTCATGCGGAACGCGAAATCGTTCGGGTATTTATCCAATAACGGGTGTTGTAAATCAACAGGGTTAGCCTTCGGTTTTATGACCAACATGCTTCATGTAATACTATGTCCTTTTTTTCATTACGGTAAAGTCCTTATCTGACATTCGCATCATCCAAAGACGGGTTTGCTGTGTCCAGACTTGTACACCCATCAATGGTATTTCCAACATTTCTGGTGTCAGCGAATTATGCCCTTCTGCACATGGAAACAGACGACCCACTCCCTTAAAGCTCTCACCTTTCAGCAACATCAGTCCCGAAGTCAACAGTGAGGGCGTCCGCTCCACTATGAGACTGATGAGCGCCTTGAGGGAGAGCGACGATGGCTGATGACGTCACTCCTGAAGACACCGTCTCCACGGCAACATCTCCAACGGTATCACGCACCAGGCTAGCTCTGGTCAGGCTCCTGACTAGGTCCCTGTGAATTCGAAATAATAGTTTAGTTGATACTTTAACAAATAATAAATAAACCCTTACAGATATTCAGTTGTAAGAAAATAGATAGAAGGAGAAAAGAACTAGTACGGGAAAAATTTATAGTCAAACCTGTCGATAGCGTCCGCCCAAGAGAAACACAAAAATGTGCTTGTTGTAGACAGGTGGTCTTTGTAGACAGGTTCCTTTAGTACAAGTTTCAATAAGAAACCATTTTCAAGGGAAACAACAAATGCCCTTGTTGAAGACAGGTGGTCTTTGTAGACAGGTGGTCACTAACGCAGGTTTGACTGTACATGGATCTATACATGGGGTAGCCAAAGACTCTTGCTGTTTTTATCTTTGAACTTTCATGAGTGCGTTGGCGAGAGCTGACGCCACGAGATAAAACTTCACTATTCTCAACTCATGGTCTGTATGATAGTTCCTTTTATAAATGATAAACACTAGTGTGAGAGCGTGGGCATGTTGTTCTTGGTCTAGTTTCATACAAAATCGATATCAATAACAAGTTACGAGCTACTGTTATAAGCTACTGAAATCATGGCATCTGATTGGCTGAGAGTAAATTTGTCATAGAAATTTAGCAGTTGTTATAGATAACAAGTTTTATGAAACAGGCCCCAGATGCATTCAGATTTGTCCAAGCAGTGGACTATACAAGTGACTGGTATCAGAAAGAAGAACAAAAATTGGAATAAAATCATCAGAGACAAGTGTAGATAGAGTCATGTGTCGTGGATTTATCAATGATTAGTAAAAGATTGTTAAGTTTAACATTAACAATTTTCATCTTAGATAATCCTTGGGAACATTGCTCGTTCTAAGGGTATTGCAATACTTATTACCCTAGCACGTACTCTTTAAAGCCCCTCTGCACTACATTGGCCAGGAGGGATTAGACTTCCCTGCATGGTCATTGACAGGTGGTTAGCTCACCAAATCAGCTCTCAATTAACATCAGAAAGAGGGGATCATGGGAGACCAACGGTCATCGATTAGGCATTGTCTGCTATATAGAGGGCGCAAGTAGCTATAAGTGGTGCAGTGGGGCTTTAATACACCAGTGTCGAGAGGAACAAAATGCACCACGCAACGGTCGTCCCATTGCCACAGTGCTCGTCCTAACGGCCATGCAGGATGATTTCCCTTGGTGAGTTGGTTTCATAAAATTCTTTTTGATCGTGATGATGAATAAGTAGGGAAACCCAAACCATACCTGAGCATGTCGAGAATATCTTCATCCTCGGTAGCCTCTCCAATCTCCGCGGTGATAGGAACAAGAGCCTCATAAGTGGATGGCGGTAGGACCTCCATTTCAGAGAAGAAAACCGAGACGAGAGTTTGGAGAATGCTAACGAACGATTCTGCATTGGGTAAAGATGATAATAGCAATAGTAATAATAATAATAATAATGATGATGATAATAATAATACCTGTTTCTTATAAAGAATTTGACCATTAACTGACCAAAACACTTACTATATTAGTATTATCGCGGTCACTGGGTTCAACAACGAATTGCCAAACATTCACAGTATTCCAGAGGTGTCTGACAACACGTTTGTTGTACTATCTCTTACAATTGCTTTTTGTTAGTAATTCATGCACAGGTGATGTAAATGTGTAGGAATTAATAACTTGAAATGGTAAATCCCCATAATGGCAGCCATTCTAACGCCAAGGTTTTAGTGGTGGAGCGCCAGGAGTGCCAAGTCTGACAGACACGAACGCTTTACAATAACCCACTACCTATCATTGTTATTTTTTAAAGTCCCAATGTACTTCTTATAGCTACTTGCGCCCTCTATATAGCAAACAATGCCTAATCGGTGCCTGTTGGTCCCCCATGATCCCCTTTTTCTTATGTTAATCGAGAGCTGATTTGATTAGATAACCACCTGTCAGTAACCTTTAATACAGGGAGGTCTAATCCCCCCTGGCCAAAGTAGTACAGACGGGCTTTAAATGAGCAGGTTCATACCTAGATCTTCCTCTGATAGGTCATTGACCTCAATGGAAGGGCATTCATCCAGCAGGGTGGTTGCAGAGCTTACATCGAGGACTGTCCCATCGACAGCTTCTCGTAACAACATGAGTTGATCTGCTGTTTGTTGACCGGTGGTAGTTGCTCTTTTCTTCCGTCCGGTTTGTTGGTCCGAAAGAACCCTGATCAGAGCATTGATGTTGCGTAAAGCACTGATGAAGTCACCTGCAATTAATTCAGTTGATTATGGAAACATTTAGCAATCAAATATATACCAAGCATTGCTGTTTTCTGTTCCGCTTACAAAATAAAGAAATATTGGATCAAAAATATAATATTCAAGTATACACTTAATCATTTTAGTAAGATACGGAGAAGAAGAAAAATCGAATCCTGCTTGTCAGCCAGTATCACAAATAATAACAGCAGTAATCTTTACTAATTACTAATCATTAACTATTGCCATTTTTTAACAAAAATGGCAATAATTATGATAAAAGTAACATAATAATAAAAATAATAACAATAACAATAATAATAAAATTAATGATGATAATGATGGTGATGACGATTTAAAGTTGTTATCATGCTTAACTGCACATAAATCAATCCTTTGCACAACTCGCCTGATAGTAACCTGGGAGGCTGGGACCAGTTTCACAAAGCCTTTTTTTCAATGACAAATGACAAAAATCAGTGACAAATCTGCTGATAACCAATAAGAAGCAAGGATTTCAGTAGCTTATAACAAAAACTGTAATTTGTCACTGATGACAAGTTTTGTGAAACCCCATGTGAAACACCCCCCCCCCTGGATGCACTTGAAATGAAAGACACGATTCCAGTGAATATACAAAAGTCAGCACTTTACCTTTAAAAGCCTCACCGTCGACGATGGCCTGCTTTAACTCTTCATAGTCAATTGATTGTCGGTCCTGTACAGAAGCCGTTATTGTGTATGAAGTACAACTACTGTGCTGGTTGCACACCTGAACAAATGAAAAAGTGACATTAGGGGGCGTTTCACAAAACTTGTCATCAGTGGCAAATGAAAAAAATCCGTGCTTCTGATTGGTTATCAGCAGATTTTTCACCGATATTTGTATTAATTGACAAAAAGGATTTGTGAAACGGGTCCCAGTATAATACTTGACACTCCAGGCGCTCGACAATTATTACCATGGCTTTAGCATGGCTGTCGTTATGGTGCTCTAGAATTGCAACGAAATTATTCTTACCAGGTACCAATTCATGTCATCCGGATCGAGAGCGGCGAATATAGATTAAAATATTGCCAAAGGACATAAGGGCCGTGGTGGGACTCGAACTGCACACTATGTGATTTACTAATGTTCACAATTAGTATACATGCATATAAATTGCCTTTTATTTTCTATAGGTTGTGTTAAATTTTCCAATAAAAACAATTTAAAATGATTTTTCGAAAAAATATTCCATACCTCAATAACAAATGTATTCTCTCCGTCGCCATTACGTCTGACAGGGGGACCTCTGACGCTGATTCTAGAATCCCCTCCTGATCGGGTCAACGACCTTGTATTGCCTGCGTCATTTCGCGTAACAAATAGCTGATAGGTCAACGGATAGGCGCCCTCATCGGTCACACAGTCGTCAACCAGAAATGCGATCTTCAAAACAAGAATGATATGCACAGTTATTGCCGAGTGTAAAATGTGTACTTGATCTTTACATTGAATTTATTATCGCCCCATATCTGAACAAGCCTTTAATGTGTACAATCATGTTGCAGCAAGTTGTAAACTGCATTCTCATATTCAGACAGATTTCAGAAATAAATGCTAACATTTGTAAGTAGAATAATACTCTAGATTACAGATGGACTAACATTTACTAAAACTAGCTCTAATAGCTTTCACCGGTTTCGAACTCTCTCTCTCTCTCTCTCGCTCTCTCTCTGTCTCTCTGTCTCTCTCTGTCTCTCTCCTTCTCTCTCTATCTATCTCTCTCTCTCGCTCTCTCTCTCTGTCTCTCTGTCTATCTATCCCTCTCTCCCTCTCTCTCTCTCTCTCGCTCTCTCTCTGTCTGTCTGTCTCTCTCTCTCTCTCTCTATCTCTCTCTCTCGCTCTCTCTCTCTCTCTCTCTCTCTCTCTGTCTGTCTGTCTCTTTCTCTTTCTCTCTCTCTCTCTCTTTACCTCATCAAGTACGGTGTATGCATCTCCAGACTCTAGGGATACTTGGCACGATGATATACCCTCGGCTACATCCAGAACTAACTGGCCATAAGCGGTTTGATCCGACCCATACGTCACAGTGACATCTACCGTGTACATCTCACCGGGCTGAAGGATGCCTTTGCAACGTAAGAAAATAGAACAATACCAAAAACATTTCATAATCAAGATGACAATTTTTTTAAAGAAAATAATTAATGAATGATCGAACTACACTCGCAAGTCACCGCTCGAGATTAATTAATTTCATTGATTGTGGGAGAGGAGAATGATTGAAATAATACATTTGATTTGAGTTGATTTCAGCATTTTTTCAAAATATATATAATAACTGAATAACAAAGAACCTATAAACGTAAGGTAATATACAAAATATACAAACAATTATAACTTCATGTAAATATGTTTTTTATACATATAAACAGATGATAACGAAACCTAATATTTCTATAACATATAATAATAAATTTAAAGTATTATCCGAACTATCTGTGTAAATAGTGCAGGAGACCGCAAACATAAGCGATGCTTGACTAGGATAGCGGCCTCAACAAACATGTGAAATTTGAAATGAAATTTGTTTAAACATGCATCAGGATAGTGGACGACGGCCCCAATATCATCAAACAACGGTTTACTTATGTATCGGCCCCATATTCAGACGTACTGCACATTCAATGGTATCATACTAATTTCAAATGGGGCATCATTTTAAAGAGAAATACGTAAGATTTTTTATGATACCAAATTCAAGTATGATAATATGTTATCAGAAGAGATATCAATGCTAAATAGAATGAGTTTATTTCATGTTAGGTGGAGGGGTATTATGTCAATGGATACTACTATTACTGTATTGTTAAGAAAATAACTCAGAGGCCATTCGGGATAGTGAAAAATATTTCGTATTGGGGGTGGGGTGTCGTTTTAATAGATATTGCTATCACTATAGCTGTATTGATATTAAAGTAGCAGCAGTATTAGTATAATATTATTATTATTAGTAGTAGTAGTAGTAGTAGTAGTAGTAGTAGTAGTAGTAGTAATAGAAGTAGTAGTAGTAGTAGTAGTAGTAGTAGTAGTAGTAGTAGTAGAAGTAGTTGTTGATGTTGTAGCAATAGTAGCAGTAGTAGAAGTAGTAGTAGTGGTAGTAGTACTAGTAGTAGTAGCAGTAGTAGTAGTAGTAGTAGTAGTAGTAGTAGTAGTAGTAGTAGTGGTAGTAGTACTAGTAGTAGTAGCAGTAGTAGTAGTAGTAGTAGTAGTAGTAGTAGTAGTAGAGGAAAGTAGTAGTATAAGTGGTAGTAATAGTAGTAGTGATAGTAGTATTAGCAGTATATTCTTTATACTATTATCATTATTATTACCTGCATCTATGGAAGTGAAAGAAAGGGTCTGAGATGGAATCGGAAAATCTCCAGCATTCCCGTCAAGATCGTAGTCAAGATCTGCAAAAATAAAGGAAAGGTGTGTGATATTGCGAACGGTGATACCATAACACACTAAAACAAGCAGATATATGTCGTAGTAGGATAGCAACAGTTACATGTACGTACTTAATATCCAATATTCGTTTAATTCTGACAACTGGCCTAGCAAATGTGTTTGAGATTACGAAGCAAGTATCGTGTGTTGTATAATTTTAGAATCACAAAAATTCATATGAGGATTTAAAATGACAGAAATAAATCAAACTGATTTTTTTTTAAATCCTCCTTGCAAAGGAGACAAATTTAGAAAATTTGCTGAAAATCACAAAATAATGAAAAGCAAGAACTTACGAACAGATAAATGTATTTTGGACTACCGTAGCGTTCCATCGTGATTTAATCCCAAATGTCAATCATATCCACTCATTTTTAAATTTAAAAGTAATCCATAAGCAATTTTTTGGGGTGATATTGCAACCATTTTCCTGTTTGCAATAAAGTTGATTTTGTATTGTTTTCTAAGTTGGTAGTTGTTACCTATATCATGGCCGGTGATGGTCCATGCGATGACGTCCGGTGAAGCATGACCAATCAGTGCTGTTAATGAAACTGGTTCGGTGGATAGCACAGGTCCCTCTGTCGATCTGAATACTAGTATCTATATAAATAGAAAAGAAATTTAGCCTTTATAATGTTATCCTACAGTAATCCTTCAGTTAACACTAGGGTCTTTTAGATTCTGCACGACGAGAACGTGGACTGCCCTTTTAAGGCAATGTGACGTCACTGCCAGTGCCTTAAAAGGACGTCACATTGCCTTAAAAGGGCAGTTCACGTTCTCGTCGTGCAGAATCTAACAGTCCCTAATTGTAAGCCTTGAGCACTCCACAGAGTGGATTTGGCGCTATCTAAGTTACATTTATTATTATTGTAACTAAATTAATCATACTCTTATCAAGTTTTGTGTTTTGTATGTGATGAATTGGTTTCTATGTCCCGGGTTATGTTTCTTGAGGATATGACATAATGACGCTTAGAGACTTCGGTGGTAAGCGCTTTATAAGTAACGTTTTTGTTATTATTATTTATTTATTTATTAAATTTAAATGTATTCAACTAGTCCACCTTTCATTCTTGAGTACGGAAAACATTTTTTTTTTTAATCAAATCTACAAGGGGTAAAAACGATTCAGTTGTTAAATTTATGTCCTTGTAATGAACCTGTAACAGAAGGTTTGCGATCAATTGCAAATTTTAAAATAATTATTCTGATTGGGTATACTTTCTCCTTTATTTTCAATTTTTGTTTCTTGTTCGCAATTACGTATTGTATTCATAATCGTCATGTTTTGTAATATTTTCTTAACTGGAGTAATTAAATTAGTCTACATATTGACATAATAGTGCAATAACCTATATTTTTAATGTTCATCAGATAAGTGTGTTTTGGTGTGTGTAGGAGAGAGTGTGGGTGTGTGTGTGTGAATGCAAATTATTTCCTTTTGTCTTCTTTTTATAAAAAATAAATAATTTTAATAATGTACTTAGTTTATTATACAATTATTGAAGATAGACTTTTACATAAGGCCAGGCCTTCCTGTCTAGTCTCCAAATACTTTCATTAATGTACATGTTTAAAATGTTTCCCCCTTGTTCCTGATGTCTTCTCGACTTGTGTTATTCTCATGTTATATATTGATACGTGTATTATATTTTAACTGTTATATGTTTGTTTTCCTTTGTATGTTTTTAATGAAGTATTGAATAAAGTGAACTTAAACATGAACTTGAAAATGCGTCTTACCAACGGGGGGTTTCCCGCCACTGCGTCTATCAGCGCACTTGTCGAAGCCCTCCTGTTTCCGGATGCTACATCCAAAGTGAACTGGTAAGTCTTTCCGGGGGTCATGTCATCGGCATCAAAGGTCAAAGTTGATGATGATGTAGCATTGTCAGCTGGGAACATGGATCCGTCTTGCGCGCTTGCACAATATGTGTCATCTGTCGTCTGAAAATAACATCAAATTAACATCAAATAACCGATCGGGTCAACATGTTATGTCGTCATTGTAACTTCGGCAGATTTGACCCCTGTTGACCCGTAATTTGGAGGGTGCGGAAATGAGGTTTAAATTTGCTTTTGCGCAATAATGAGACGTTAAATGCTTTGTATTCCTTTTAATTTGTATTCTACATTCATTCAGTTTTCCATTTATATCAAGTTGTATTTTCATTGGATAGGGTCTTTAGATAATGAGTTGTGAGTTGGTCTAGCGGCACGTTTACTTGGTCAGCTCTCTGTCTCCGCCTAAACTGGATCAGCTAGGCAACGCTGGTTCGAAACTGAGTCACTTCTTTCGGATGGTGACGTTAGGGTTGGTGCATGTCTAGGCGTAATTAATAATATCTGATTGATACACATCTCTTCAAACTCGATTACACACACATTTAAAAAATGAAGAAATGCATGGAACAACATACCTGTTCGCAACTCCATTCGTACGTCAAATCATTAGAGTCTGACTGGTCTGAACCGGTTGGTTGATCAGGGTCACGTGACCGTGAACCATCAAGAATCACCATCCCACTGTCCACTCCCACGCTTTTTTCACTGCCCCCTCGTATACTAGCAACAAGCTCAGATGATGCGAAACGTATTGTGATGGCACTGGTAGGGCCTGACGTAGCACCAACCCGTCTGGCTTGGACAGTGAACGTGACGTCAGAATCGCCTGATCAAGAGAAAAAATGTAAAGAAAGAATCTGTTAATAGCTCACGAATATATAATTTCTTTTCGTCTTTTTGTCGTTTTTTTTTAAAATTAAACAAAAAGATGAATGGAACCGCCCAAACTTAGTCTTGTTTATCGAGTTTACAATTATCAAAACGTTTATTTAAAAGCATTGCAGGAAGAATCATGAATACATCCAAAGACTGGGATATACTATCTGTAAAAGCTTAAATTAGATAGACCCAAAAGTGTAAATGGTGAACTGAATTAAAAACCCTGGAATGGTGATTTAATTACTATCAAGAGAGGAATGACCGGAGAATGAATGACTAAAAAGGGATAGGACGAAATTGGATTTCGGTTTAAGTGTCTGGATTAGTCAAGAGATAGTTTATTCTTGAAATGACGCTTTATATGATCAGGAACAGACCTGCTATACAATGGCCCTCTCTATTAAAGTCTTTCGACTCACTGGGCGCCATCATCGGTAATTATTAAGGTGATCTACTATCGTTTTAGTCCTTATAATTCTTTTCATGATGGTCAAGTATATAGTTATTAGGGGAATTATCATAAGTAATTAAAAAACAGCTTCCCCAGATAACAAACCAAAAAGAACGACAGAGGGCGGGCTTTACTCACCAGGGAAAGAGTAGGCATTTATGAATAGAGTTCTGAAGTTTGCAGTCCCCGAATGAATGCTCTCATCAAAGGTTTCACTATTAGCTGTCCATACGAAATCTGTCTCCTCTGGACCAGCGCCGTCACAGTCCGAATAGAAGGTCACGTCGGCATCAAGGAAGAACCTGAAAGACATTGTACAGGGGCGTTTCACAGAACTTATCATCAGTGAAAAATGACAGTGTTTGTTATAAACTACTGAAATCCTTGTTTTTGATTGGTTATCAGCAGATTTGTCATTGATTTTTGTCATTTGTCATCAATTAACATGATGCTCCAATTTCTAAACTATTTCAAACTTTAACCTTTGACCCAACACTATTCCCGACTTAGGTACCCTAACAAGAACATCATATATAATGCAGTACAAATAGACGTTATTTAAATCCTGTATGCACTAGTTTGGTCAGGAGGGAGTAGACCACCCTGCTAGGTCACTGACAGGTGGTTATCTCATCAACTCAGCTCTCAATTAACATAAGAAAAAGAGGATCATGGGGGACCAACGGGCACCACTTAGGCATTGTTTTTCATATAGAGATAGCAAGTATCTACAAGTAGTGCAGTGGGGCTTTACCATGTACTCTCCTATCTTACTATTTTGATTTCATAATGCGCCTCGGAATACTTAAGAGGTCGATGGCGGTGGGGGGGGGGGTCGCCAATCAAGTATGAACTAGGCCTTAATTTATTCAAAGTATACCTTTTGGACACAGGTACGTTCTCCGGTTCTATGCCGCGCGGATTGATCCCCAGGTCGGGAACCTGCTCTGCTGACCGCGTCACAACTATGGAATCGGAGCCTGAGCCGCCTAAGAAGTTCACTGCCTCGGTGATGAATGTGTAGACTTGATTAGCTGTGAGGAGGGCCCCATCTACCGTCAAGTCTGCTGTCGTTATTGCTAGAGATGCGAAAGAATAAAACATTCATGTATGGCATATGAGAGGATCTATTCTTATGAACCAGCAACAATTCTAGATTTTATTTTATTTTTTATTTTGTGTTAAAGTTTGAGTTGAGGCTTTTTATACCCACAACAGACATACTGAAAATAAAAATAGACTATGTATAATGCAAATGTGGTCTATTTCATGTAGTTGTTAAAGAATTTTTGGAAAAGTTTTATTGCAATTGAAAAATACAAAACTATATGAAGTGGGTAATATTCGAAATAGGTGTTTTAATCCGTAGAGTATATCAAGAGCTATTGGGAGCGGAAAGGTGTGGGGGGGCATTATTACCGGTAACTGCTGCTTCAAGATCGTTTGAAACTCCACCCTCTGATTGGACAGACCATGTGAAGGTCAAAGGTCGACCAGCGCCACCTTTTGTTCCTCGAGCCGACAGCTGTACTTCTCCACAGCTACTGATCTTTGAGAAGCCTCGCAAGACCACTTCAACTGTGGGGATTTCCCCGACCTCAACGGCTAGGACTGTCTCGGGCACCGCTCGGGAGAAGTCGGGTCGGCTGAAGATAACATCACCGCGCAGTGTAAGCGTATCATCTGTGGAGATTTGTAAAAAAAAGTTGTGTTTTATTCCTTAAAAAGGTCGCTTGTATGAGGATCAGAAATCTAAAGGGTTCCATACACTTTCATTAGACCAACATCCTTTGGCATAGAGAGAGACGTAGCATTTAGATATGTACGGTCATTACAATGACTTATTACGTAATGCGAACATGATTTCTATAAGATATATAATAGGATATTGAAAGTGCACTCCAGCCGATTTTTCGAAAATAGCAACCAGGGGACCGACGATTCTATGTCCTCTCCGATGGACTTGGTAATGAGGATTAATGCCTTTCCAAAGGGCACTAGCGCATCGTATTGGTTTCGAACCGGGGACCTCCCGGGTATGAGACTGCTGCTCTACCACTAAGCCATCGCACCTCACTTACTCAATGAAACTTACCTGGTCGAATAAGATCATCCTCCATCTTTATTGGAGGAGCTCGCGCCTTTGAATGTTTTTTGAAACAGATATATGGCGCCATACAAATGCTGTTCATCATCATCTCCGAGAGTGATCATAATGACGCGGTTGTTTCTGATGATCATGCAATTGCTTCCGGTGCCTATAGTAGGTTTCTAACAACATAGCTATTGGTTTCGAACTGGGGACCTCCCAGCTACGAAACCACTGCTCCACCACTGAGCCTTTGTTACTTACTCAATAATAAACTTACCTGGTCCAATAAGATCATCCCCATCTCCAAGAGTGATCATAATGACGCGATTGCCTCTGATGATCATGCAACTGCTTCCGGTTCCTAGAATATTTCTAGCGATGCCATTCTCCTCAGGAGTATCTTGGAATACGGTGCTGCAGTCGTCAATGTCGTCGGTTCGAACTCCATCCTCGAAGTCAAGTAGGAGTCTGTTTTCTGCAAATAAAACGGAGGGGGGGAATGGTGATGAAGATTAAAGCTTATCTGCCGTAGTTTACAGGAGGGATTAGACCGCCCCGCAAGGTCACTGGACAGGTGGTTATCTCATCAACTCAGCTCTCAGTTAACAGAAGTAAAAGTGGATCATAGGGAACCAATGGTCACCGATTAGGCATTGTTTGTTATATAGAGGGCGCAAGTAGCTACAAGTAGTGCAGTGGGCCTTTAAAGCCCCACACTACTTGTAGCTACTTGCGCCCGCTCTATATAGCAAACAATGCCTAATCGGTGCCTGTTTGTCCCACAGGATCCTCTAATTCTTATGCTAATTGAGATCTGATTTGATGAGATAACCACTTGTCAGTGATCTTGCAGGGAGGTCTAATCCTCCTGGTCAAACTAGTGCAGACTGGCTTTAAATTGGCTAAACCTAGATATTGTATACCAGACCCTTGGTCTTCATATCCTTAGCGAAAGGCGGTGGCGAAGACTTTTGAGGATTATGCAAAATCAAATTTAAAAACCTTGATCTTGTTTACATATTAAATTGTGCGAACATGGTAATAGCATATTAAATAATTCGAATAATGTAATTTATACATTTTTATTTTTTTTCTTACTTGAAGGAAAAAACGTGAGTGAGCCGATCGCGGGTGCTGGTGCGAAGAATGTTACCGTGAAAGGTCCGCCAGGTAACGGGTCTATTCCATTGAGAGACGGGGAGACAACCAACTCCATTGGCGTGGGTGGGGATCGAAGGGTAAACGTAAGCTCCTGCATTGAATCACCACTGATCTCTCCAGCCAGAGGTTCCAAACCTGACGAGAAATGATCATGAGAAATCTTTTTCAACATATCTTTGAGAAAATTAAGTTATTTTTTAAATTTCTTAATAATTTGTTTTCCCTCTCCTTATTCTTGATTGTAACATTCGGGAACACTCTAAATCATCTTTTTTTAAACTCATGTTACTCTGAAACTGTGTGAGTGAGACAATGCTTGTGATTCTTTGAATCTACTTAATGATGTTACAGGGTTGTTGCAGGGCTACAACAGGTCTGGCTTTACTGTTACAACAAGCATGTAACAACAAGCCTTGCTTTACTGTAAGTCAATCCACTATACTGCATTTAGCCTATGCAATGAATGCTGAAACGTTTAAACCTATTCATTATGCTTATTATTATTATTACTCATATACTGCGCTTTTCCCGGAGCGGCCCGAAGCGATGACAACAAGAACAATATTACAACAAATGAAATGAAAACTTACAGTATCTTGAAAATCTGGATTACAAACAAGAAATGTTTTAAGTCCCTTGTAGAATGACGAGGCAGATGGTGATTGCCAAGTATGCTCTAGAATTAACATGATTATTCTATTTATACAAAATTATTTACATTGTTTTGGTTTATTGATAAAGAATGTACATGGAGAGAATTCCACTATGTATATCAAGCAGAAACAAATATGGGGTGAAAAGAGTTCCCCATAATTCATGAAAAAGAAAAACTGTCAGCTTAATCATTCTGTACCAGATATTATGTTACGTTTTTGTTCAAATGGAAAGCATTTGACTTTCCTGAATATCAAATGCATTTGCATTCAGAAAGTATCCATTGGACTGCACATGACTGCCTGTGGCGTTTATTATCATGGTGATTGTACATAATGATCTCTTACCATTCTCGAAAATGAGGTATGGTGTTATGCCCTCAACGGCCTGGAAGTTGGAGTTGGCAGAAGCCGTAAAGGTGAAGGTGGCAAGTGATGTTGGATCGAGGGTAATCTCTTCCGGTGCTACTGACGCTATGGTAACGGCTGTTGATTGGAATAATAGATATTATTAAAGAAGAAGACGGCTAGGTAGAAGAAGAAGAAGAAGAAGATGATGACGAAGAAGAAGAAGAAGAAGAAGAAGAAGAAGAAGAAGAAGAAGACGAAGAAGGAGATGATGATGATGAAGAAGAAGAAGAAGAAGAAGAAGATGATGAAGAAGAAGAAGAAGACGAAGAAGGAGATGATGATGAAGAAGAAGAAGAAGAAGAAGAAGATGATGAAGAAGAAGAAGAAGAAGAAGAAGGAGAAGAAGAAGAAGAAGACGAAGAAGGAGATGATGAAGAAGAAGAAGAAGAAGAAGAAGAAGAAGGAGAAGAAGAAGAAGAAGACGAAGAAGGAGATGATGATGATGAAGAAGAAGAAGAAGAAGAAGACGAAGAAGGAGATGATGATGATGATGAAGAAGAAGAAGAAGAAGAAGAAGATCATAGAAGAAGAAACAAAAGAAGAAGAAAAGGAAAAGCAGAAAAAGAAGGAAAGAAGGAAGGACAGAATACAGCTAGGTAGAGTAATTGAATAATGTTATACAAAACAATTTCACCTAAAATTTCTTACATAATTATAAATGCATGATAACAAAATCATAAGAAATACCTAAACATTCTATTCAGTGAACTTGACAACTCGATTTTTTTCGTGAGTTTACTCGATTCTGAAGTAGTAAGACAAGCAAATGTGGATTAAAGGTAAAGACCAGTTATGGTCATGCGATTGCATTGTGAAAGAAACGTTGTGGAATCGATCAGAAAAGGTTGATCATCTAGCATCTAGCATCTGCAAGGTTCTGGAATCATCAAAATGATAAGAAATTTGGCCCATTCTTCGTAAAGTTACAAGCACTATACACAGAAAGATGTATATGGGACTACCCTATATCTCTCACAGACCATGAGAGAAACAAATTTACCAAATATATGAATTAGTAGGCGGTTTCCCGGCAAATTTTTTATCATCATGTATTAGTCAAAACATATTCTTTCACATGATTGGTAATGAGAGCTTCCATTTCATTTTTTGAAATTGGGGCGTTTCCAATACTGGTCTTTACCTTTAATGTCTTGCTAAAATATATATGGAGGCGGGCTTGGATTCGAACCCTCAACTCTTTGACAGAGAGTCAAGCGAATTGACCACTAAACCATAACCTAACCAGTCATTAGACATAATGCTCCGAAATCTTTATTATAACAGTTGGACTTATACGGTGTATACTTACGGTCATAGACTTCGAGTGTAATCGAAGTAGCGATGGGCTCGGAGTTACCAGGAAATATTAGTAAAAGGTCGTATGTGCCTGTAAACAAAAACATGGAACCGTGTCAATGCAAAAATCCATTCAGTTTATGATGCCACTACCTCTACAATGAAAGAGGGTAAGCCTACACACATTAACATCTTCATACATGGTGGGCAGTAAAGAGACATTATTTTACCTCCTCTGTTATACCGCCCCCCCCCCCTCAAAAAAATAATCATGTCATTCTTATCTAACGACATCTCTGCAGATAGCAGACCCTGTGTATTGATGACGAGTTTAATTTGTTACAGATCTGTCTGAGGTAGTCACATATTCCATTTGAATTGAAAATCGGTGGCGTTGTTGGTGCTTCACATCCAGCGTTTCCGATTCGACAAGTATTATTAATATTTGTTATATGAACATAATCAATGTTTTCTCCCTTGTTCAAAACAACACTATTATCTCTCTCATATCTCATTTATTTATGTTTCATTGATATTTCGGTAATGACAAATATCTTATATTTTTTGTAAGCAAACATAAAAGCGGCCTATTTTTAGTATTCATTTTAGTATTCATGCATAAAATGTACTTTTTAAAACATTTTACTTTGATATATACTGTAGGGTCTATAGGCCTATATATTTAAAAAAAATGATATATCTTTGTATATGATCTCCAAAATAGTCTTTATATTTATGTTACCTGCTGCTGGAAGAGTAATGGTGCACGTTCCTTCGGATGCACTGGATGTCGCCATGGTAACCTGCCGGTTCAGAGTGCCCACTTGGTTCCTGAATCGACAATCTGGAGCTGGGTCGAATCCTGCTCCAGAAATAGTGATCTACGAAAAACAAAACATGGCCATCATGTTTGAAAGAACAGCTTTTTAAATGACAATACAATAGCCATTTCCTGGCTAATTGTAAGGGTTGCAGCTAGGGATGTGACCCGAATTGACCTTTCTGACGTAAAACACCGGTGTACTAACATATTCAAATGCAAATTTATGGAAGTTTCTCTCCTGGGAATCTAGGGACGAATTATTTATTTAACATGTTATTAATGAATGAACTACAATACTTGTAATCCAGTCTGCATACAGTACTTTTGCTATGTCGGGCAACCCTCGGGTAGGCTCTAAGGTTGTCAAAAAAACCTTTGTTTTAAACGTGTGCATACAATTTTAATATATTAGTAAACCGGTCTTTCGGTTCGTAGACATTAGGAATCTGTGTAATGTCCCAGTCCTTTTTTTTTAGAGAAAACATATTATTACCAACACAGATGAACGTAAATAGTTGTATGGTCATCCCTTAAAGATTTATATCGGATTGGTGATGATCATGGTAGTTCACATCATTTAAGTTTACCATGCCATGTTTGTAATCACTATGAATATGACGGACAAAGAAAGAGGACAAAATATACAGTTCCTCATTCTACCCTCAACAATTGCTGTGGTAGACAAAGGATCATCTCCTCATTGCTATTATGTAAACATGTGTTGAACAGGTGAATATGCATGTGACACCTGTTCTACACATTTTTACATAATAGCAGTGAAGGGATATTCCTTTGTCTACCACAGCAATTGTTGAGGGTACAATGAGTAACTGTATATTTTGTCCTCTTTCTTTGTCCGTCATGTTCATAGTGAATGTAATCAAAGTTAATGCATACGCCTTTCAAAAGTGCCCCGTCACGAATTATTTCAATCACCTGGTTCTAACTTATTAAGTCAGCATGCAAATTGCATATATAAGAAGTCGAACACTATTCATGGCCATAGAAGAAACTTCGACCTTAATATACCAACTCATCTACATGAAAGCAGAAACATCAGTTACGCAGACTGGTGACGGATTTAGCGAAATTGGACAAAATAATCAGAAGAAACTTGTGTCATCACAATATAAATGGGCATTTTTAATTGGCTAAATGTAACTGTGACGTACTGCCGGACAATTCAGCTGATAATCTGACAGACATATTGATTGATCGCTTACCTCATGTTGTGTTGCTGCTGGGATGACATTAGGATAGATAGAAGATACATCAGTACATGATGTGCCGTTCCCACCACACACCATACACGCATCATATACGTTGCCACTGTTAATACAAGATCCATAGGTTATTTTCGTAATGAGTTAAATTCAATGAATCAAATAGAATGCACAAAACTTTTTTAAAGTGCCTCAATAAAAATGATTTCATTCACGTTTTACGAATTATTGTAATTTAAAAGTCAAAATGTGCAATGCATACACATTACGTGTTGTTAGGTAGGACAGACCATAATGTATATCATATATACCTAACAACAATTAATGTGTGCAATTTTCTTTCTGACTAGGTATTGGTATGCACTTAATACATATACAAATCGAATAAAAGGAAATCAGTAACCTATTTTCTATGTGTTTTTGCTTCTTGTTCTTCCCAAATGTATTGGGACACATTCATGTAATGTGTAACGCACTGTATAAGGTTATAATTACTGTCAATGTTATCATTATCAATATTTTATTATTATCATTAATGTACTGGTTTGTAAAGTGTATTAAAGTATAAAGTGATGACATGCCCTTTTATGGTTTCTCTTTTTTTCTTCTTGTTTTCTTTCTCTTTAGAGAAAACTGTATTTGCATGTTTAACATTTGAATATATTATGCGGCATGCCATATTTATGTTTAACCTTAGAAAAAAACATTTTGTTATTGATTTCATTCGATAAAACTGTACCTGTTTATCACTCCGTCGCAGCCGACACAGGAACGGCCACCAAGGTACCCACATGAACCACATTCATTCATGCCTGCATCGACGGGTCGTCCAGTCGCCCCCGCTACGCATCGTCCACACTCATTTAATATAGCTCCGTAGTCATCATCTGTTACGAAACAAGGACAAACATAATGATAATGTTAAAAAAACAATAATAATAATTATTATAGTTATAATAACAATAATGTTAATGATAATAATAGTGATGATGATAAAGAATGATAGAGTTTTCTCTCTCTTTACTTCCCATGCCCGATTTCTACTATTTCAATTTTGACAAGTTTTGGCAACTTAAACCCTCTTGTGATGCCTGGGACAGTGGAACACAAACCACTTCCTACACCAGCGTACAAGTGCGGTACATGTATATCAGTGTCTTGCCAAATGACATAATGTGCTACGGCAAGGAATCGAACCCCGTAATCCACTAGACCAAATTGTATAGATATATCGAGTGCTGTGAGAGGCCTGGCTGTGTTATACATTGTAGGCTCAAGGGGACATTGCATCCTACCAGGTCTTGACTATTAAAGCATACGATATGTCTTTTAAAGTATGTACCGAATTGAAACAAAAATCCTACACTAATTTCACCTTATCCTTTTCTTGGGTAAAGATTGGTTAAAACATCATGGAAAATCTGAGACACTGTCTGTTAATCTTCGCTGGAAAATAACCATGGGTGTCGATCCTTAATACCTATTCATCAGGGGGGGGGGATGAATGAATATCATCCCCCCCCCCCTGATGAATAGGTATCAGTTACAGATCGACACCCATGAAAATAACTGAATGTTACAATCATGGGAATCGCAGAAAAAAAGCACTGTATGGTATTCGCGCCCGCACACACTAAGTTTTAACACGTGACCCAATGGGGATCGCAGCCAAATTTTACTATTTTCCCGGTCCCCGGAAGCTTGCGGGCATCTCACTCATGAACTATTAACCGGTACTGGCATTGTTCGTTTCTTTACGGGAATGGCTAAAATCCCGACTATAATTTCGAGACAATCAGATGGCTAGATTTCTAAAGAGAGGTATATAATTGAAAATACAGGCTAGTGGCACTCACCTCGGGGGCATCTGCCTGTGCAATCTCTCTCGTCAGACGTGAAGTGATACTCAATGCTTCCTGCGAGTCGTGGCACACATACTCCACAAGCATCCAAATCGAAGCGCTTCGGGCATCCTGCGTCAGAAGTTATCATAATAATAATAATGATGATGGTGATGTTGATAATAAAAATGAATCAAAAAAGAAAGAAAAAACGAAGAAGAATAAAAATTTAAAAAATTAGTATCAATAATACTAGTAATAGTAGCTGCATTTAAAATGCGCACGTATATTTTTCCATTTGATGCACAAGGTGCCAGCAAAGTAAGTGTAGTATTATTATCCTGGCTTAATTAACCCAGCTGGCAGAAGGCATTTAGCCTACCCCTCCCCCCCCCCCCCCCCAGATTGTATGTTTGTGCGCTATTCAGTTTGTAAAACTAAGTCTGGAACTTGCTTTCAACTGCAAGTAGTACATGAAGGAAAAAAGAGAAACACATACGAATGTGACAAATTACAAATGTTAAAATAATTTCATTGTCCATTCAACGCGTAATTTATGCAATTCGCATTCTGACTATTGAAATACAAATATCCGTAAAAGGTGAATAAAATAAGTCATAACGAGCACTTAAAGATATGTGCATTACATTTAATACGAAAATTACTAACTGGCGTTTCTATGGGTTATCTACGAACGCTTTCGAGAAAATGTAAAAATGTAAATACATTAGTAAACGGGTTTGGTGCCCGAAGTTTATATTTTTCCGAAAGTCTTTCCAATCGCAGGTATGGCAAATAGGTGATTTCGAACCTCTGAATGCGGAGGCCAAGGCCCTACATATCGGTTGTACTCCCATGAAGCCTGTATACTGATGGATCAAATCATCAGTGATGTTAAACCTCTCTCCAGGATTGACAATGTTGATAAGAGGTTCGATGACGTCATGGATGATGTCATCGGCTATGCTTCCGCATCTTCCCACAGCGGTCGTGAGAGACAGTAGATTTGAGATGAGACCCCTTGTAAAATCGAGTCTCGCCGAGTCATCGATGTCTGATGAGAATAAAGAGAGACAACGAAAGAGATAATATTTCGGGTTAACTTCTTTTTTCGTCTTAAATTTATATTTTCTAACATTTTGTTAGAAATTACCTTTATTGGAATTTACCAGTCAGATTGAAGGCCAACGCAACAAGTTAATATTACACATTACTGGCTTTTTGTTCTTCAAATGAAGAATGTTTGTGTATTCTCATTGTATATATTGGTGCGTTTGGCGAAATATAGGGCACTAAAAGACGCATTCGGAAATAAAAATGCGTAATAATTAGTATTTTCTAACATATCTGAATGAAAGTTTAACTAACGTTATGCCTCATCGAGACGGTGCACGTAAAACCAGTTCCATTATACTACGATGTGATAACAATTATGGTTTTTAACAATTATGCAGTTTGCGTTCAGGACGCGTCTTTTTGTGCTGCCACATCGCTAAGCTATTTCTATTTAATACCATAACTACCTTCGTTTTGAAGTGCTTGATTCATTTGTTGACAGATGGCATCTATACTATTATATCCTACGAGGCGAGGTGCGATGTCAATAGCATCTTGAATGACTTGATAGTAGGGTGAGGACGGAACAATTCCGAATGATGTCAGGGTACTACTCAGGAAAGCATCGACGTCTTCACAGATCGGACTGGCCTGTGGGAGGAAGAAACTGAGGATCCGAGAGCCGAAGTCCAGAACGAGGTCACTCAGGGAAGGCTCTAGAAGGTCACTGGCTATGGAGCAGACAGTGCTTATGTTGTTGATATCGATCCCGTAGATTTCAGAGATGTTCATTAGGAGCTGTACAAACGGACTGACATACACCATCGTTTCATACGTATACGACCAATTCCCTTCTGATGACATATTATAAGGCGGCACTTCTGGGTATGTCTCTTCGGTCATGACAGGACCGAGAAGTGATGAGAACCTGCGCTCAAGGTCATAGCACAATCCCGTTGCGTCGAACCCATTAGAGTCATCAGCTGCTTCGACAATGGAGTTGCAGATTGGCTTCCAGTATCTCTCTGTCCCCCGGAAGTCGGGGATGGTCCTTGCTATGATTGGTAGGATGTCGGTGCAAACGTAAGCGTAAGAGTCGACGGCGCGGTCCTGCTCCCAAAGACTACCAGCCAGGTTGATGAGAAGGGATACGGTGAGACCAGAATCAGGGAAGAGTTCCCCGTAAGTTGGACGGACAAGTGGCACCTCACCTGCAATAAACCAGAGAAATCATGTATGTTCATCTCCTAACCAAAATAAAGTTACTTGTTAGTTAGTGGTGGTTATGTTACCTGACTGCTAAGAAGGCATAGATGCTTGTTAGTAAGCAGCCAGAGGACCGACGGATTTAGGTCCTCTCCGAAGACCTGGTAATGAGAATTAATGTCTTACCAAAGGGCACTAGCGCATCGACTTGGTTTCGAGCCCGGGTCACCGGATTACGAGACCACTGCTCTACTAACTGAGATATCCCCCCCCCCCCCCATATATGATATGTTTACAAACAGAATATTAATTTGTTACATTGCATTGTAAATTGATTTATATTTTTATAACCATATTATTGATGTCAATCAATGAAGTTTATTTACAATACATCTCCTAGCCAAAATGTAGTTACCTGTTAGCTCGGTTTGCATGTTGTTTGAACAAGAATGTTCCCTTTACAATCTTTTGGTAGACAATACAGAATCTTGTTATCTATTTTTCACTCTCAATCACGTAAACAATACTAATGTGACTTTGATTTCAGTAGTTTTCATGAAAACATGCTTGCCATCCGGAGAAAACCGCCTTTAAAACACATCCCATTAGAATAGGTGGAATTCTACACGCGCACTTTCTTATGTTTTCGACCAACATTAATTTTAAAAGCTAAGTGGTTGGCTTACTCGTGAATGCTGTCTCTACATCTTGACAGATTTCATAGACGTTCTCATAGCCGGTGTAACGGGAAATCAGATAGTCGCTAATATGAACGGAAGGCCCATTAGGAAGAACATTCTGGAGTACTGGTTCTAGGACACCTTCAAGGGTTTCGCTGACCAGAATTGAACAACGATCTGCATCTGTCGGTAGCTCGAACATTCTGATAATGATATTCCTGGAGAATGTCATGCTTGCTTCGTCTCCTAGAAATAAAAAAGAACATATGATATTTTACTCCAAGTCACATCAAAGACACCTCCACTATATAGGGTACCGTTTCACGAAACTGCCACAGGTACAAGTTCACCGCCATTCAATTGAAATGCGTGTTAAAGTTAATAACACGCGTTTCAATGAGTTGTAGGGGAGCTTATACTTATATCACTTGTACGACGGTTTCGTGAAACGCTGCCATGACAACATGACAACAGACCGAACTTGCTACTAATTTAAGCCTCGGTCATAATGCCATTACCAACTGTTACGAACGCCGAACGAACGATTTTCAGACCATGGAAGTTCGGGAAGACCATGAAAAAACAGGGAGGTTCGTACGAATGCATCTTTCGTACGAACCTTTAATTGTGACCGTAGCTTTACCCTCATTCGCGAATTGGTCGGGTTAGAGTCATTTTAGTTATGTATCTTAAGTATCTGAATAATTGAACAGTTTGAGGCGAAGGAAATTAAACTCAATTTAATTGAAATGAGATAATTCAATATTTAACGGGTAAAACGGGCAATTACCCAATAAACTAGTTTGGAGTATAAAGCACATGGTCCAAATGATCCAAAATATATAGACAGAAATTTTAAACATAGCGGAGTCCTGCTTTGAACAAAGTGATGGAGGTGCTTCGTGAATACCTTTTTTGTTGCTCTCTTGAGAAGAGTACCTCCAATTGGGTATCATAGAATGTTAGGGCGGGGAATAAATGAATAATGATTACATAACTATATTAGCATGTATGCAATAATCATCTCGATGGGTTTAACAGTATTGTACACATGACACATTGTTCTTTGTCTGAACTACCGTCTACCATTCGAATCATGGTGACCATTGAAGTGAAATTACAATTGTGGTTACCATGGTTACCATGATGGATGGGAATTTGGACAAAGAATCATGGTTACCATGGTACTTTTTTATAATGGATATTCCTACCTTCAGCAGAAATTGCGCGGACCAGATCTTGACAAAGAGCCTCTCTACTATCATATCCCACAGCCTGAGATCCTATACTGGCAGCATCTTCGATAATTTGATAATATGTCGAGGATGAATCAACACCAAACCCTTCTAAGAAAGCGTCCCAGTCGCAGACTTGCTCTGCTAGTGGCAGTAGCGAACTCATCAACTTAGTCCCAAACTCTAAGAAAATCCCAGGAAGAGGCTGATCTAAGAACTGATGGACATTAGGACAAATCGTGGAGATGTCATTGATGTTGATTCCGTAGAGTTCTCTGGTGATGTTGACCAGGGTTCCGATGATGCCCATGGGATCTGGTATGGATCCGGCGATGTCGTAGGTTCCATTACCACCATCAGTGTCACCAGGAGATATGTCGCTAATCATATCCATGATGCGGTCGCAAAAGCCGGTCGAGTCAAAAGCCTCAAGGTCTCTTGCTGCTTCCCTAATCTCCTGGCAGATAGGGTTGTAGTAGTGACGGTAGTAACCCACGACAGGTACCATTACGGTGATTGCTGGGAGGGCATCGGTACAAGCATAGTCGAGGGTGTCGACGAGGCGGTCCTGTTGCCACAAACCCCCAGCAGCGTTGACGAAGAACTTAAGAGTGAGGTTCGTTCCTGGAATGAAATCGACTCGAGGGGTAGGTAGTTCCACTTCGGCTGAATAAAGACGACAATGAAATAAAAACAATAGATAATGTTGCTGGGAAGTGAAGTCTAAATTATTCTTCCAGAAAGAAGTTCTGTCTATCGGAGAAACTAACAAAAACAATAAATAAGGTATTTTCAATTCAAGAAACAAAAATCGAATCGAATCTCCAATTATCTAAGTTAAGAGTGAAAGGGGGAAATGAAAAAGGACAACCTGGGAAATATGACATAGAGAAGAAAGAGGAAGGAGTTTTGTCGAGAAAGGGGGAAAATTAACAGTTTTATTACATTTGCTCATAGTTTACATTTGAATTCCAGTATAGGCATGTTAATTAGTGTTGACTTGTTGGGAACTAATAATTGCAAATATAGATATAAATTCATATACTAGACCTATGTCAGGTGAAAGATAAACAGAATGAACATTTCCGTGAAATAGATACAAATGATTAAGTCTTAAGCCCCACTGTCCTACTTGTAGCTTCTTGCTCCCTCTATATAGAAAACTTCCCCAATCGGTGCCTGTTGGTCCCCCATGAGCCTCTTTTTCTTATGGTAGTTGAGAGCTGAGTTAATGAGATAGCCACCTGTCAGTGACCTCGCTGTGTGTTCTAATCCCCTCTGGCCCAGTAGTATTGAGGGTCTTTAAACTAGACAAACTTATGAATAAACTCACTAGTAAATGCTTCCTCCAATGCATAACAAATGTCCTCGGCCGTATAGAAACCGGTGTAAAGATAGAGTAGATGATCAATAGAATAGGAAGACGGGTAGTAATCGATGCCGCCGCTGTTGAGGGCGCTGTTGTCACCGAGGCTGGTGATAGCATAATTGCCCAAAGCTGTACATCTTTCTCCGTTCTCCAGGAGGTCGATGACACTCTCGATGACATTTCTGGAGAATGTTCTCCTCGCGTCGATGTCATCATCTGCCAACAGATCGAGGAATGAAAAAAAACACGGTAGGCTGTATACATAATGAAGGTATTGAATCAAGGCACGAAACCCTCTCATGTGAATACAGTAGAATAAACATATAATGTGTGTACAATCATGGGCCTTGTAGGTCCATGGTACAATCATGTATAGGCCTTCCTCAATTGACCGATCATGCGCAAGGATGCATGACATATGGTATCAAAAGAGGTGTGCAGTATTTTGTAATACATGGACATATCTAAATATTTCTATATATCATTTACCACTAACTCCAAACAATAGACAATTACAAAACTTTCATTTTTTCTGACTCGCACTGTATTATATCCGTGATGTATCAGTGTCCATGTGTGTATGTGTGTGGGTGCACCTGCGTGCGTGCCTGTGTTTGTGCGAGCTGGTGTGTGCGCGCGCATGTGTGTGTGTGTGTGTGTGTGTGTTACCTACTTTCAAGGGCCTGGGTGATGGCCTCACATAGCGCGTCAAAGTCGTCGTACCCCACGGCTTGAGATCCGATATTAGCAGCCTTCTCGATGATATGGTACACTGGAGAGGTGGAGTCCAATTCTAAGTCCTCGAGGAAACCTTCCCAGTTGTCACATATCGGAGCTGCCTGGGGTAGAAATGCACTCATCAGTTCAGTCGCGAACTGAGAGATGAGATCTTCAAGAGATGGTCTCAAGAAATTCTTCTTGACGTTGGTGCAGATGGTGTTGATTGTAGATGGGTCATTGATGATCATGTTGATGTCGATTCCATAGAGGTCTCTGGTGATGTTGGTCAGGATCTCGATGATACCCAGGGGATCATCCATATATTCCGCTTGTCTGCGATATCTTTCGCCACTCTCCTGAGATATCAAGTCAGTGATCACAGTTATTATGTCATTGCAGAATCCCGTTGCATCAAATGCATCCAGATCTTTAGAAGCTTCGATGACCTCATCACAGACGAAACCCCAATACAGACTTGTAGGGTCCACTTCCGGTATCATCGAACCGACTACCGGAAGGACATCCTTACAAACATATGCCATTGAATCAATGACCCGATCCTGCTGCCAGATACCACCAGCAGCGTTGATCAGGAATTCGATGTTAAACCCAGAGCCAGGAATGATCTCTCCTGGATTCTGGAACGGTTGCGGTTCCGGATCCGGGTAGTCCGGGTACGGGTACGGGTTGTCCGGGTAGTAAGATGTTGGATATGGTGGGTAGGAGGTCTGTCCGGTTACCATAGCAACCAGCAATGCTGTCAAAAGAAGGACTGTTAAGGCCCTCATGGTGTATAAGGCGTAGCAAGGAGTTCAAAGACCTTTGTATAAATATCCCGATAGTACCTGCACAGCTTCGGAAGTTAGCAGTTTTGTTTCCTGCGAATAAAAAGACAAAAGAGGTTATGCACATTTTAGAACCATGTGGTCTTCTAAATCAACAACGATTCGATTACCGTTATGAATAGCCTGACAATGGTGTGTCATTGGTCACCAGATGATATTGGAAATGACCTTTTCTTCTTTTTGCATTCGCTTCTCTAAAAGACACAATCACATCACCGCGGTCCTAGATCTACATACGCTCTCCAAATTGACTCTCGACTCAATCTCTTTCTCAATCCTTTTCTCCCTCATTATACTGATCTAATTTCCCTTTTCTAGAGCTTTTGCAATCATTAATTTTCCCTTTTTTGTAGCTTTCTTTCTTTTTGTTTTCTACTCACTTCTTAGCTACATATTTGACTATTTATTGATTTCTAAGCATACTTTGTTCATGTTTTATTGTAAAACAGCATCTGAGGAACTAACACTTTAACAAGCTCTGCTTCAAGTTAGTTCCTCTCTCGTGCTCTTTCCTTATATTTATCGTTTCATTGCATATTTGTTGTGATATAATTATTCTTGTATTATGTGTTTGCATGAGAAATAAAATAATTTGAATTACTTGAATCAACACCATATAAAGTATCTATACTAAGACCACAGACATGGGGGGGGGGGGGGGGTGCTGGAAGGAACAAAACGAATGAACGAACGTGCAGTTGTCAAACACCCCTTTGTTTATTCGTCTTTTAAAGGGAAAATACGACTTCTAGTTAAATATTTGTTGAACTGAATTGAACTGAAGGACTGAATAATGCTGTGGAACACTCTCCCTCGAGAAATCCGTAAATAGCAGGAGAGAGAAAAGGCAAGAGAGTGAAAGATAGAGAGACGAATCTTGACGATGGAGCTTCATGAGGTAATGGAATGGTACGATTCGTGACAAAAAAATGCGAGCACAATACCCTAAAATAGCTCTGACGTTTTAGTTTCATTTTAATTGATGACCATAAGGTTGTGAAAAGAACACAACTATAGCTTTCCGGAAGAGGAAATCGTGCCTAATGGGAATAGCGCGAATTTATATCGCTGGCATACAAATACAATTATTAATGAGGGAGAGAGAGAGAGAGAGAGAGAGAGAGAGAGAGAGAGAGCGAGAGGACGAGAGAGAGAACGAAAAGTGGAATTTTGTATCGAATTGGGGAAGTCGTTGATCGTGTGAATAACGTCGTAAGCATTTATGCCGGCATATATGATCTTGTATGATAAAGAGTTGAGTGAAATGCATTTTTACCAACTGTATCTTCCTATATCAATCTCAACCCCTCCGCCTCCCAGCCACCACCTTTCCGTCTGTCTATCTCTCTCTCTCCCCCCATTCCACACACGCCCCCTTTCCCACACACGAAAGCACCGTCATAATCAATATAACTATTACTATCTATTTTCTATTCTCTCTCTCTCTTTCTCTCCCTCTTTCTCTCTCTCCCTCCCTTTATTAATCAATTAATAACGCAATCAATAAATTATTAGCAAATGTCAAAAGATGATGAACAGCAATAGTGAAAGGAATGAGAATAAATAGATTAACCCAGCTTTTTTGCAAATTGTCTCTCCACCTCCCCCCCCCCCCCCACTCTCTCTCTCTCTCTCTCTCTCTCTCCCTCCCTCCCTCTCTCTCTCTGTCTCTGTCTGTCTCTCTCTCTCTGTCTCTCTCTCTCTCCCTCCCTCTCTCTCTCTCTCTCTCTGTCTCTCTCTCTCTAAGCCTTCATGGTCAAACATTTGAAGAGGCACATTTTGGGGTGGGATCAAGATTGCACGGCCCCCCGCCCCCCCCCCCCCCCACTTTCTTCATTAATCTTTTGCAATGAATTTCATTAATATTTGTTGTTGTATGGAACTCGATTGTGGAACGTATCTTATTATATCGCCATTATCGCAGAAACTGTAGCAGGTTGCAGAACATTGCAGCAATTCGTAGGATTATGGCGCTATAGTATTAGCAAGAACTTTTTACTGATTAATATGAAGAGTCATGTTGACTGTTTCAACCCCCCCCCCCCCCAGGAACCATTGCCGCATTATTTGCTGCCTGTGTTCATGCTCTATTTGTCCACGTACTACAGCATAGTAGCCTCTATAATTATGAACAGCGTTTCATTTCTCATAACTTGGTAAACATTGTAAAATGTGTTTGCTCGCATAGCTAGCATTATGATTCTTTCTTTTTAATACACATAGCGTCCATGACGCATGGCGAGGTTTCACTTTGTGCATTTTATAGATCTGACTTCCCTGTCTGAAGGGATGGATGAACTTTAACCCATTGCTTACCGGAGCCTGGTGGTTCCTGTGATAAGCCTATGAGAAATAGAGAATTCAGTAGCGAACGGGTTAAGAATTGAGTCTGTTCCTCTTTCTGAAAGGAATACATCCGCGTGCGCATTATGGAATGCAGGCTGTTGTTGCATAGATGAATAGTTAATACACAAAAAATGAGTCTTTTTGTGGCATTTTTTGCTAAATGTGCAATTGCAAACTGTACTTCAGGTTATCACGCGATAATATCTCACAGCTATTCATACCAGCCAATCCCGTCAGTAAAGTACCACATCATGCACAAAGACCGATAAAATTCGTTCGCACAGATTCAGGTATTCACCAACAATAAGCCTTTACAATTTCATGCAAAATGAAGTTTATCCGGGAAATTCTGACTTTTAAAGAGCACCTCACCCTCCCTAAGAAAAACACTGGGCCCACTCCTGTTATTTTGCTATATTGATACAAACCACTTGCATTAGATATATATATATATAAATGTTCTTCTTAAAATACGACTGCACTGATAATATGACATTATAGTCAAATAATACACAGACCATGCCATTTCCGTAAGATATCTAGATTGAACACACATCAGTTTAGTGTCACCGTTTCATTTTATTTTTATTTTTTTTTATTTAGAATGTTCTGAAATTCAAAATGTAAATGAGCAAAATGTGTATCAATCACTGAAAGTTGTAAGCCCATGGAAGACTGTGTTGATTAAGAGCAATGTAATCGAAAAATAATCGTCATAAGTCTCTAAATAATATAGGTAAGGCAAAATGAATTTACAATCACTGTGTAAGAATTGGCAATTACTTCTTTATTTGTTTGTAATTATCATTCACACGGCTCAATTCAATACACATTGTTCTTTAGTGTAATTCTGAAATAGTGGAGAATACAAATAATTGGTGCCAACATTTCATTTAGACCTTTAGATAACACCGAATTGCAATGAATTAATGCCTGCAACTTTGTCAAGTACCTAGTGACTGATCATGCCTGTCACCCTTTAGTATTATATGTCATAAGACAGGATGTGAATGAAATACTACGGAAGTTTCAAGATAAGCATGAGTTCTGGTAAATATTGAAAAATAGATTTTCACAGAATACAACTAACTCTATTCTGAATGTGCCAAACAATTTTGGTAGAAAATGTTTAGTGGCTAAGTAATGAGCATGAACAGATGAGAAAATCCGGGTAAGTATAGACCCGACATAAACTTATAAACGGGTCATTATGTGCAAATGGGAGTTGTGGTTTTTATCGAAGATCATGCCCATTCATTTTGTTTGCGTTTTTGTTTAATTCACTGGTTCAAACAACCAATCTACTGCAGGATACAGAATCCAGAATAAATCATAGCAATTCTCTCTCAAAATACAATTCCCATACCAGAGCTCAAGATTAGTATGAGTGAGGGGCCTGTTTCAGACGCAAAGGCGAGAAGGGGAGTTGTTAAAACTCGTCAATCTGTCATGTTTCAGTCGAGAAGGCAAAAATGCGCCTTGTTTAAGTCAAAAAAAGGAGAAGGGGAGTTGTTAAAACTCACCAAGGTGCATTGTTTAAGTCGAGAAGGATAGAGAAGACGACTTGGTAAGGTTTACCGACTTAACATAAGCCACAATGACGAGTTTTAACGACCCACCTTCTCGTCCTAAACAAGGTGCCTTGGTGAGATTTTAACAATTAAGTTGCTTTCTCGCCTTCTAGATCTAAACAAGGAGATATGACGAGTTTTAAGAAGCCACCTTCTCTCCTTCTTTACGTAAACAAGGTACCTAGGTCAGTTTTGACAAGTCGGCTTTCTTACAAGACACCTTGGCGAGTTTTAGCAATTTTAACATATCGCTTTCTCGTCCTCTTGGTCTAACACCTTCTCACTGCACGGTTTATAAGCTTCTGTACATAAGCCATGTTTCCTGGCGTATCGGCGAATTTCAACAAGTCGCCCTTTCGCTCTACATTTATACCTCCGTATGATGTTCCACCCACCTCATAACTGTTTGCAATCAGCATTCTGACTATTGATATAAGAATAATCCGAAACAGGTGATTTTGTGACTAGGCCAGAAGTTATTTCTATTTTGCTTCGCAAAAAGAAAATGTAAGCTCCTAAGATTTTGCACATTCACGGAATAATAGAGAGTACCATTGGGGGAATGATAGGCAATAAACAGCAAATCATAATTAAGTCCCTTTTCGTAAACAAAGAGAGCATGTGTTGTCCATGGGGCATAAGGGATTGATAATGGATAATGGATTAATGGCTTTTCTAGCGATGCATTCTTTAGGTGCACAAATTACTCTCTCATTTGAAAGGCGCCTGGTACGGTATCAAACGGCTCCAGCACTGTAGCGATTCCTATTTTCAAAACGAACTATGATTATCGTCATAGGCAATACGCAGCGGCCAAAGTACGTGGAGCACATGGAGGGACATTTACGTAATTGCCATAAATAGAGCAGATACAACAAAAATGAGACGAAAATTAAAAGACAGGGAGAGAGAAGGAAAGACAGATGAGGAAAAGGGAAAGTGGAGAAAAGAGAGAAGATAAAGCAGTATATATATATGTATATATATCTTCTTTTTTTCTCTCTCTCTCTCTCTCTTTAACCCTGGTATTGGTTTCGTTTTAGTATAATTATCTTCCATAAAACAGGTATTATGTCCAATGCACCCCCTCCCCCTCTCTCTCTCTTCATGACATCA